CCCATCCCATCCCATCTCATCCCATCCCATCCCATCTGTTCTGCCCAGAGATGACATAACAGCCCAAGCAGATCTGGTACATCCCCAGCAGAGCCCTGGAGTCCCATCCTGACCCACTTTCCCCAGTCCCCACCAATGTTTCAAAGCCATTCCCCTCCTGGGAGCCCTGCATGGGGCTGGGGTTCTCAGGGTGTTTTAGAACAAATGCTCACAATAAGGTAATTATAGGGGAGATAATAAATGTGTCAGTCCTCCAAGAAGTATTTTTTCTGGGAGCAAAGGGGGAGCCCTGCCGCTGCATTGCATTCACGCACATTACCATACATATTAATTAACTGGGTAAAAAGCTCCCCAACTCTGTGCCACGTGCATTATTTATGAGCATCTCGAGGTGCTGGTAACTTACAGGCTCTCCTGCTCTGCTCATTGCCTTATTTCCCTAGATGTTCTCACTCCAGACGCTGCGTGTGGATGCTCTCCTGTAGGGACTTGCTGCTGGCTGGAGCTGAGTGCTGAGATCAGACAGGGGAAGAAGTGGGGTGAGCTCACGCTTGCACGCAGCATCCTCCTGCTGGGTGCCGTGGTGCAGCCCCACAGCAACGGGATGCATTCCCTTGCCTGCAGTCCTGCTGCCCCCTGCACAACCCCTCGCTGCCCAAGCCCTTGGCTGAGGCTCATCACGTCTTCCTGTTTATTTCTGATGAGAGCAATGACCTCGTCTGCACGGCGCATCCCAGCCTTGTGTGCTCACAGCCACATCCAGCTGGACCCAGCTGTCCCCGAGGGGATGCCACGTATCCCCCCCAGCCACTGGGATCCGTTGGGGTGTTGTTTTCCTCCGTCCTTGGACTCCCCAGCACAATGGCTGTGCTCAGCCCCACGACGCTTCTGTGTGGAACGAGATTTAAAGCGGCGCAGCAAATAGGTGATAGAAAAACCAAACTCTATTAAAAACCCATTTTCTGCAGGTGAGTGGGTCCCCAGCAGGTCAGGGGTGGGGAATTACCGTGGTGCGCAGGGAGAGTGTGTCTGATTGCACGTGGGGGCTGGAATGGGGGCTGAGGACAGGGCATTGACCCCAAGTTGGGTCCTTCTCCCCCCCCTCCCCAGCCCCCACCCTGCGCTGTCAGCATCTCCATGCATGGGGTGAGCTCAGCACACGCAGCCACAGTCCCGCTCCTGGCAGCCCAAAGCTGTGCAGTGGGGAAGAGGAATTGGATGCCACTTTATAAATCATTGTCTCCCTTTAAAGATGGAGTTTTAACCTTCCCGGCTTCTGCCTGGGGATTTATTAGCAGTTTCATTTCCTGCAGTAATAACTCATTGCACTCACTGGAGTAGGCGACAGGGGGGGTCCTCTTCCAGCTGTGCCATGCCCAGGTCTTGCACTTCCCTGTTCATGGGGTGAGTTCCCTACTCTGGGTTGTGGAGACCATGGGATGGACACCCTCAGCCTCGTGCATGGGTGCTCCTCCCCAGGACCCCATTCTGCAGTGATGATGGGGATACGGATGGGGATAGAAATGGGGATGGGGATAGGAATGGGGAGGAAATAGGGATGGGGATGGAATGGGGATGGGGATAGGAATGGGGATGGGGATAGGAATGGGGAGGGAATAGGGATGGGGATGGAATGGGGATGGAGATGGGGATGGTTATGGGTATGAAGATGGGGACAGAAATGAGGTTGGGTCAGGAACAGCAGTGGCTTTGCTCATTCTGGCTGCAAAACTCCTCGTGTCCCCAAGGTCCTTGGCTCTGCCTGCTCTCCTTCCCACACAAACCTGACAGCTGAGGGATTTTCATTCCCCAAAGGATTTCCCTTAATTAGGAGCCTTCATAAATCACCATCGCACACACTCACAGGCACTTAACTCCATCTCTTCAAAGGCTCTGCCCACCCACCCTGCCGTGGTGCTGTGGGTGGGTGCCGGTGCTGCGGCAGCGTGGGGGCACTTTGGTGGGGATGGGGCACAGAGGCTCTGCCCATCCATCCCCGGATGGGGATCCATCTCCCCTCCATAGGGCTGAGCGAGACAAAGGAAGTCCAGGGCGAGTTTCTGCCCCCTGAAGTACTTTTCCCAATAATTAGGTCTGTGCTAAGACGATTAAGAACTTTAGTGATGGGTTTTATAATCCTTCCTGAAAGGGAAATGAGCCTCCAGTTCCCTCCTCGCTGTCCTGCCCTGTCCCCAGCAGGGACTTCACAGTGACCCCACACTGCCGTCCTCCTGGCACCTCCGGGCTTTGCTCATTTTGTCACTTGGCTGTGGAGCTGCTGTTGCACACAGAGAGCAGAGCCGATGGTTCACAGCTGCCTCCAGGGTTGGGATGCTTTGGTGGCTGTGCCATCAGGCAAGCAGTGTGGAGCTGCTGGATTCACAACGGCAGTGACGACAGCGCAGGCTTCCCGCAGCCTGTTGAGCGCGTGGCCGGGAAGGAATTGATCCCCACTGCTTCATTTATTAGATGGTGTAATGCCACGGAAACCGTTTCCGCAATATCCCAAACTAAATCATTTATTCTTGACAAAAATCCAATAAAGAGCTCAGTCCTCCTCCATAGGCAGATAAAGCCCAGATTAACGGGACTGCCTAGATCAGAAAGAGAGAATAAGGAGGAAAAGCTGGGAAAATGAGGGTGGGATGTAAAGGAGAATTCTTCCTCATTCTCTCTTTCCCAAGGCTGCTGCAGCTCAGGATTTTATTACAAAAAGCCACCTAAATATTACAGGCTAATCCGTAAATCCCAGCCTAGTAAAATATGTGATGGATTTTGTAAATTGTGCCCTTTACAAATCTGATTGAACTCCTTTTTCCTTGCTGGTTTGCTTTTCTTCTCCTTCCTCTCTCCTCCTCCCTGGGGATTTTCTTTACCTCAAGGACCACAAAGCTTTTTGGTGCCACTGTCCTGGCTCTGCTGGGGTGAGAAGGGGATGGGATGGAGATGGGATGGAGATTGAATGAGGTGGATGGAGATGGGATGAAATTGGATAGGATGGATGGAGATTGAATGGGGTGCATGGAGGCGGAATGAGACTGGGTAGGGTGGGTCGAGGAGCTCTCCAACTGGCTGCAGCCAGCTGCCTGCATTGTAATTGCTGCTCTCCCCATCCTTCCTCTTAGGCTGCTGGCAGCTGGCTGAGCAGGGGCAGGAAGGAGGCTGTGAGCACCGAGACATGTAGGTGATCTCCCCTTCCTCAACTCAGTTTGATTTTAGGGCTTTCTGCCTTCCTTGAGCTGCCCTGGGTGTTTTGGGGCTGGTGGAGCACAGAGATGTACCCATGGGAATAGGGATCATCTGGGTGCTTCTGGGTGCAGCCCAGCATCCCTGCTGCAGATCCTTCTCTAACGGCACATTTCTGTGCAGGAGGAGGACAAACTCAGGCACATCTTTCCTTCCTCCAACATTATTTCCTGTTCTTTTATTAAAGCAAGATGTTGCTGGCACATCTCATGCTCCCTTCCCTGTTTTTCCATCAAGTAACTCTGCAGAGGAACATCTGGCAGCAGCTAGTGAGCGGGATATTCCTGCCTGTGGCAGCAGAGATACTGGTTTCCTTGCAGTGGTTGGGGGCAACCAGTAAATGCCAGCTATCCCCATGGTGACTGTCTCACTCCGTGGTGACACGGGTGGCAGTGAGGATGGGGACCTGCTGGTGTTGCACCCTGCATAGCAAACCAGAGAAGGAAAGAGGAGGACCAGCTGCCACGTCTCCAATTGGATTTAGTTTCACCCCGAGATGCTTTTCCTTTTGGTTTGCTCGTAGCACTGTGGTTGGTGGGAAGCCAGGATCGGAACAGTGGCACTGAGCCCAGCCCAGGTCTCTGCCAGAGAGCTCAGAGCCCACGGAGGTGGCCCAGCAGCCACAGGTTTAGGGGGAAGCCTTCCCCCAGAATTGTGCCTTATCAATAAGCCAGTGGGATGAACTCACTGCAAATCCAGAGTGTTGTAACCACCCTCGAAGGAATAAAGTCTGGGTTAGTGTACAAGCGGGCAAAGAAAGGCAGCTGAGCTCCTGATGATTAGGACAAGATAATGGGACAAGACTGCGTCTCAGCTTCACCAGCACCCCCTGGCACCGTAAGCAGGACAACTCGCAGCCATCCAGCCCTTCCTTCCATTCCCTGCACCTAACGATGGGCTTTACTCATGCTTTGAGTCAGCGCTGGGGGATGCTCGGCTGGTAACCATGGCAACTGCCAGGTTCCTGTCTCCTTGCCCTTGTCGGTCACCTTGAGGTGTCACCATGTCCCGGTCACCGGCTGGCTGCCCTGTATGCCCCTGTGCAGCCATGCAGGGCTCTGGCAGCCATGGGGCAGTGCTGGGACCACTGCTGGCCCCAAGCACATCCTGGCGTGGGCAGCACCCGGCTGGGTCTGGGAGCCCACAGGAGGAGCTGGAGCCCTGCGCCAGGCGCCCGCAGCCACATCTGCAAGCATTTAAGCAGGAAGCCCGGGCCAGGTCCTGCCAGAAATAGCTCTTGGTGTGTGCTCCCGTGCCAGCAAGTGATGTCATTTGCTTTTATTTCCCTCCCGTCTGCTCCTTCCCGTTGGAGACACGATACACTTGTCAGCCTCGTGCCGTGCTGGGGCTTTTGCTGCCTGTGCTGACGCAGCCTTGGATTTGTTGCTGGCACCTCAAGCAGACACGGGGCTGCTCGTGTCTCTGCCCACCGCCAGGACCTGCCCTGCTCCTCCAGCAGCATGGGCAAAATGGGAGAAATCCAGGCTGATGGCTGCTCATGAGCTGGGGAGCCTCAGAAGGGAAATCCTGGGGTTCACTCACCCTGAGGAACCCTATAGGGAGGGAACTCCAGGGGAAGGGGTCGTGCACACAGCTTGGGCGCTGCAGGGCTTGGTGTAGGAGCAGCTGGGTGTATCATGGTGCTGTCCTGCAGCCCCGCAGCTCTTTGCACTGTGTTGACTTGGCCACTGATGTGCAAGCACCGACACAGCCTGGGCGTGCAGCCGCTCACAGGCTGGATTCAGCCAGCTGGCTGCGGCCCCTCGACGCACTCCAGAACAAGCACATGCCTCCAGAACGTCTCCACACGGCCTCTCAGGACTTGTCCCCATCCGTGCCGTTGCATCCCCGCCAGCTGCAGGCTGCCAGCCAGGGCGTCCCATGGCCGCAGACCGGCGTCTCCCTCAGGCTGGGGGTCACGGGGCTGTGGGCTTCCCGATTAAGTTCCTGCAGAAAACACAGCTTGTTGTGCTTTGTGCATGGGGATGGGCTGAGCTCCATCGCAAACGATGAACATCCTCACCCTCAGCTGTTGCATCCATCCTGCAGCAGTTTCTCATGGCTACAGGTCATGGTTCTAGCTGGATGCCTCTGTCGCCACGTGCCACTGTGCAGGGCGGGCAGGGCAGCATGCAGGCAGCCACTGGCAGGTCTTGCTGGCACAGCCCAGGCGTGGTGCTGGTGTCTGCCTGCACAGCCGCTCCTGCTTGGAAACAATGCTTGGAGTGGAGATTTGCTGCCATTTCATGGAAAAAATGGGTGGAGTGAAATGAATCATGCCCATACAGCTGAGCTGGGCAGAGCTGACTGCCTCTTCTTTTCCCAAATTCCTATTTCCACTGCTCAATGCTGCCAGCCTCAGCAGAGCAGAGGTGCTTGGAGGTGCTGCCCACTCATGCCTGCAGCAGCTCAGTGCCAACCCTGCCCCCTGGCACAGGATGTCACAGTGGCCTCAGTGCTACCCAGCCAGTGGGACACGGTCAGCCTCACGCAGTGTCGTGTCAGAGGGGATCTCTGAGGACGTGTGGGTCCTTTGTTAACCCTGGGACATTCTGGCTGTGTCTTCCTCTCCATCCGTTACAGGAACACATGGCACCACATCCTGAAACAATTGCACAATTATGGACTAATTACCGCAATTAGATGATCAGTGGTCCTGCAAACTTGTGCCAGACCTGTGTCCAGAGCCACGTTCCCCCAGTTCTTGCAGTGCCTGACATGGAGGGATGAGCTCAGCACCACAGAGTGCTCTCAGAACCATGGAGACTCCAGGAGGGGCACAGGGTTGGGCTTGTGGCTTTGCTGACCTCCTGCAGCCACCTTGGCCAGCACACCCCTCCTTGTCCCCATCCCTGTCCCCTTCTGTGTTCCTATCCTGCAGGAGCTGCCGATGGCTGTGGGATGGGCACACGCTGGCAGCACCGAGGACTTAACGCTGCTCAGCCCTGGAAACAACGCTATCCGTTTCAATTAGAGCAAGCAGGGAAGCGGCTATTAAGTGCTTCGTTATTATGGTAATGGATCTACTCTGCATGCACGGGGGAGGCCTCGCACCCTCCCGCCAGTGTCCAATTTTTTATCTCTAATTCCTCCCCTAGGTCTTCTCCCATCCGTGACATGAAAGATGAGGACCGTGGTGGCTCCAGCAGTGCAGTGCCTCTCTCTCATCCCAGAGGTGGAGAGGTGAGGGGCACCCTTGCCCTGGGGCTGTACTCATGTAGGGGCTCTGCTCAGTGGGATGGGGACCCTTGGTAAGGATGTGCCCTGCAGTGCAGGACTGGCCACGTGGGACTCTGTTCTCCCCACAGACGTCGGTGTCTGCCATCAGCGGGGTGCAGGGGGGAGGGGTGCCACAGAGCCGTGGAGTCCTTTCATCTGCTGCCACGTGCTGTCACGATGGGTGTTTAATTGGGATGTGCAGTGCAGAACTCGTGCCGCTGTGCTTTGTGGGGAAGCCGGACGGGTGACGGGATATTTCCCCATAATTGGCTTATTTGCTTTCCTTTGTAAATGTCTTGTTGATACAGGAATCGCTTATGATGACACGGCTGTGGGCGTGCAGCTGCCTCAGCCCCCCCTTTGCCCAAATCTTCGGCACCCCCAGCGCAGGGCAGTGAGCTGCAGTGACAGTGGTGCACATGGAACCCATCCTCCACCACCACCATCCCCGTGCCACCGTGGGAGTGCTGGGGACAGCGTGTCCCGTGCTAGCGATCACGCTCAGCTCTGCTGTCATTGCTGCTGCCTGAGCCCCGGCAATGCTTATGAATAAATGAAATGAGAGTAAAGCGCCTGCCTAATGGAATGATGACAAATGTGTACCGAAACCGAAGGGAAAAGGGAACAATTTGAGTAATTCAATTATTTAACAGAAGCTTGTCAATGGTATGCGCCGGGGAGCTGTGACAGAGCAGCACCAAGTGCCACGGTGGGAGGTGTGTGGTGTCCTGGGGCACCCCATGGGACCTTGGGGACAGGAGAGAAGGGGATGCCCTGGGATGGAGACATGCAGGATGAGAAAGGTGCATGGGAACTGCATGAGCAGCATGGAGACAGCACTGGCATGTCACTGGAGACCACGCTGGGAGGCGAGAGGGGTTCATTTGCACTTTGCTTGGGCTAGCATGGCCAGGACAGCCTTGCTAGGGAGGTGCAAATAGATTCAGCAGGAGTGCACTGCTTTTGCTCAGCAGAATTGCAGATGTCTGAACGCAGCTGGGGGTCTGATCCTTCTCCTCCAGGCCCTGCACACCACAGTGCTCATAGATGCCGCTCCTGTGGTGCAGAACAATCAGTCCAGACCCAGTGATGCCAGAGTTTAACGTCACGCAGATCAGCTCCAGAATTCGAGGAGGGGGATGTGCTCTGAAAAATGACTTCGGTTGGTCCACATCTTCAACACCCAGTGGCCTGTGTCCCCATGGCCAGGCTGCAGCAGCAGCACAGGGACAAGGGCTGCCTGGCCTCTGTGGGGACCACCCCTGTGAGCAGCAAGTTAAGGCTGGGGTGGGTCCGTTCCTCCCTTTAGGAACTGCAGCAGTGATGAGGTCCTCCACCTCCATTCCGCACCGCATCCACAGTTCAGTGCCTGTCCCCTCCCTTGTGTGCCCAGAGGTGACAAAAGCTGGCAGGGGACAAGAGCGTGTCATTGCAGGCAGGCAGCTGGCAGGGGACACAGCTCTGGCAGCCAGCTCTGTGCACGCCCGGCTGCTCCCTGTGCTGCCTGGGGACCACTCACTCCCAGCTCACATATGTTGCGAGGACACTGGGTTTGTTCCCCTCCAGCCTCCCTTGGCCATGAGCCATTGGCACTCTTGGTCTCGAGTCATGGCACCGAGATGCTGGCACCTCCCCCTGACTCCCCTGGCAGCGTGGTGGAGGGGACATACAGCAGAAGCAGACCCCAGGTGAGCCCTGAGTGGATATGAAGGACGTGCCCCCCACCCTGCCCGTGCCAGCAGGCGCTGAACATGGAATGAAGAAATGAATGTGAACATTGCACAGGTGGCCGGGCAGCACACACTGTGACAGCTGGTCACCTTCACAGGGGACAAGCAGTGCTGGAGAGGCTGGGTCTCCATCCTCATGTTGTGAGGACTGAGAGAGAGGCTCCCGTGCACCCTCATCTCAGCGCATCAGAGGGCTGTGCTGTGGTGTTGTTTATGCCCAAGCAGCCCATAGATCTTGTGGCTGCACAGATTACGCAGCCGCTCGCAGCCCCGGACAGCAGCTGGGTTTCCTCTGTGTGATTCAAGGCCCAGACGGCACGCAAAGGAAAGCAGCTGTTTGCCAGAAAGGCAGAGCCCTGCCGTGGGCACCCATGCCAGCAGCCCTTGCCAAGGCAGCAGTGAGAATTCCCCGCTAATCTGCAGGGCCACATTCAGCAGGAGCCATTTGGATGTTGGCATCTCCTGTGCCTGCTGCTTTCTGGTGCCTGTGCTGGGGTACCGGGGCTTGGTGAAGCCTCCCAATAAGCTCTGGTAGCGCTGGTTTCTGGGGGAGCCTTGGTAGGGATGGAAGAAAAAGAGGTGCCCCGTGGGTTGAGTGCCAGCTCCGAGCCCCACAGCGACACCCCTCCCTGTGTCCCCACGCATCTCAGCGGGCTGGGACTGTTTGGAGAGCAGACAAACGCCTGCATCAATCAGCGCCGGGAGCGGGCGCACAGCCGGGTGATTTAGGTGACTGGTCACCGCTGTAACCGATGATGAGCTGCGAGTCGGGGAGAGAGAAATAAGGAAGCGACACAGCCTGGCGTCTGTTTGCATAAACTATCTTATCCGCACAGAGGATACGGCACCGGGGGAGGTGATAAATCCCCCTCTCCGCGGCTGTGTGCGGAGATTAGATGGCTTTTGAAGAAAAGCAGTGGCTCAGCCATGAGTTACGGGCAGGGAGAGCACGTGTAGACAGCAGGAGGGGGTCTGGGTGGCTGTGCTGGGGCTGTAGGACCCTGGGGATGTCAGTCCTGTGTGGGTGACGCTGCACAGAGTTGGGCAGGGTGGCACTGCCTGGCAGTAGGTGGCCCCCACCTCCACGTCCTTCCATCTTCCTTAGCTCTTATTTGCGAGCGGGCTGCAGCCCAAGCTCAGGAATGAGGAGGAAAGATGAGCCAGCCTCCCCGAGCCTGGTGGATCTGGGTATTTCATTACCTGCACACCTGTTCCTGAGTGCCATATGGGCAGAGGTAAATAGGCGGTAATTGTTTATCCAGAAGCGATTCTGTGATGCAGTGAGAGCCATCTCCAAAGAAGTCACCTTCCACAGCGATGCTGCGGCCAGAGCCCAGGTGTGGGAGGAGAATGTGGGGTCCCTCCTGCTTCCCCACTCCTCTCCTTCATTCTGCATCTGGGTGACACCAGCACAGACCAGCGGAGCATCCTCCTGCAGTGCCACGGGGTGCATGCCAGGTACCCCATCTCCAACTGAATCACAGCACAGCCATCTCCTCCCCAGGGGGAAGGTGTGCAACAGCTTCCATGTGCCCCTCATCCCGCCTGGGCCAGGCCTTAGTTTGCAAAGGGCAATTGCTCCCTGCTGTGCTAGCAGACCAAGCCCAATGTGGGGAGGAAGAAGGGTGTCCCGGCAGCTGGAGCCCCACGCTCAGCTCCCAGCACGATGGAGAGGCTGTGGCTCTTTCAGGGACAATTAATTCTCAGCAAAATAGAGGCGTTTGCTTGCGCCTGAGTGGTCCCCAGGCAGTTGGAACCGCGTGCTGCAGGGGGATGCTGCAGGCTGCAGAGATGAATGGCTCTCCCCCACCGCTCCGAGTTTGCATTTCTCTCCTCCTCTCTCCCTCAGCTGTGTAAAATTTCCCCCTTTTCACTGAAGCGCGTGAGCCGCTCTCTGTCCCCAGGCCGTGATGCTCACGTAGCCGAGCACGGCAGATGATTTACGCAGAGATGATGGACGACCTGCTCGTTCATCTGAGTTTGTGCCTAACACCGGAGCTGTGATTTCCCTGCAGGGAGAAGTGATGGCTCTGAGGAGGGGAGCATCCTCCCAGCTGAGCGCTGCCTGTTTCATTGTGTTGCAGGAGGAGAGGCAGCAGCACGTCCTGGCACCGCTTGCATGCCGGATGTTCCTTTTCTCCCTTTAAATGAGGTTTTTAAACAGCTTCCCAAATCGATCCCCAGCCTCCCATTTCCTGCCTCTGCCTTGGGTTAATGGCAGTGAACGGGTCCCCAGGCCCTCAGCAGAGCACAGGCTTTGCCCTTAGCAGTGCCCCCGTGTGAGCAGGGGGGGCCCATAGAGGGTGTGTGTGTGAGCAGCGTGTGCACACAGAGCCTCTGCACGCACGTGTGCCAGGCGCACCGTGCATGTGCCTGCGCATCCCTATTTCGGAGCGTGCACGCTCGCTCCCTCTCTCTAGATGGGTGTGCATAGCTTTATGACATCCGAAATGGAAAAGACAATTGGATGTCAAAACCTATCTGAGGAGCCCATTTATACCCACCGACTTTTATGGGATTCCCGCTGATTGATGCAGGCCCCATAAAACTTCCCGCAGCAGCTCCCACCCCTCGCAGCCTGCTCTGCCTCCTCGTGCAGCACTGGCAGGGATGGGATGGGATGGGGTGGGGAGCCCTCCCCGCCTGTGTGGCTGCTTCCCATCTCCTGATAAGGGATGCGGTGCATGTGCAGCCGTGGCAGGGGCTCTCCCGCCGCCATCCATCATGCTGCCAAAGCATCAATCAGGCGGCGGCCAGCTCTGTGTGCAGCCCCCTCCGCAGGGAGCGCGGCGCTCCGTTCGGAGCCACTTTCGTCTCCTTGCAGAGGTGAATCTCACGCAGCTGACACTGGCTGATTGACAACCCCACGTGCTATCCGGGAGACCAACGGCTTGGCACTGTCCTCAGCAGCACGGAGGCTCTCGCCCCACGCTTGTGCTGCGGGGTGAGGTCCCCATCGAATCCCCATGCCCCCATGCTGAGTGTGTTATGGTGTCAAGGAGAGGTCTGTAGGGCTGCGGTGAGGCTGGCGGTGTGTGTGTGGGAGGGATGGGGAAGCTCTCGCCTGGGGCCCGCCAGCATCAATCACTGCAGCTGCTCTTGCCTAATGGGCACCAAGCAGATTGGGGAAGGCACTCCATCTCCATGTCGGCGCAGTTTGTCATCATCAAACTCCGGCAGCAGGGAGAGCAGCCTGGCCAGCAGGGAACAGGAGGGAAACGTGGAACTTTACATCCCTGCAGCGCGGCTGGTACCCAGGCTTTGGGTAGCATCAGGTTGTCCCCTCACCCCAGGACAGCTGAGAGACGTGGCACTCAGTGCCATTTGTGTGCAATTAAAAAGCGGTGTGTGGCTGCAGAGATCCCCATTATCTGAGCACAGTAACACAGCACATGGGATCCGTGTCTGCCCCCGGGATGAGCACAGCCACGGGGCTGGTGCAGGTCTCCATGTGCCACAAGCACACTGTGCAACCCATGCATAAATTGGTGTAGAGCCCTGCACACCCGCTGTGGGGATGGGCCATGGAGCAGGGTGGTGACAGATGTCCCTGGAGCCACTGGCACTCGTCAGAGCCACTGGGGCAGCTGCTGCCCGACGGCTCTTCTTCCCATGGCTGAGCACGATGACCTTTCCCTGTGTTTTGCGGCTGATTCCCAGCCACTGTGCAGGGAGGGGCCGGGGGGGTGATGCAGCCCCTTCCCCCCTGCCCTCCCAGCCCTCTGCTCCCCAGCCCTCACCCAGCACCTATTAATATTTATACCTCCTGGTGTATGGTGAGAGCTTGGACACAATCAGGGCACTGCAATCACTGCACGGGGGCAGGCA